GTGCCAGTCTCGATATAATATTCAACAAAAATATTTGGAACAGGTTTGGAATTTTTTTTAAATTTTTGAAAAATTTTTTGTGCATTCGGTCACTGTGACGAAAGTGTGACATTTGGTCACTGAGAAGAAAATTTGACATTTTGTCACAAAATTTTTTGAAATTTTTTAAGAAATTTTTTTGTAGATTTCTGAGCTTTATGAGGACTTTCATATCACAAAATTGCCGTTATTAGAGTCTGAAGTTAGAGGACCTCAAATGATTAAAGAATTTAGTGAACGCTTGGTTAATTCTTCTACGGTTTGAAAAAATAAATAAAATTGAGAGTTTATTTTTTTGTTAAATTTTGTTTTGATGGAAACCTTTAAAATTTGGGGGAAAAATTTTTTTTAAATATAATATCCAGTCAGAAATTTTTTTAAAAATTTCGTTGACCGTTTTCGACATTTTTTGAACAAATTTGATATTTTTTGTTTGTTTCCGTCAGAACAAAAAAATTTCTTTGTGATTTGTTTATAAATTTAAAAAGAAAATTTATACAGCTATGCCGTTAAATGTTAAAGACGAGAAAAAATTTTTTTATCAATTTTTTTTATTTTAGGTATTTAGTTAAAGTTAACTAAAATATTTTTATTTATTTTCGTATGATGCCATAATATCAAACGCTGGAATACCAAATCTTCAAAAGGCGCTGAAGATTAGCATGTGGAGATTGTTTTGTGGAGCAATCTTCATTTTTATTGGATAGATTTTTGAAAAGCGGAAAGGTTAAAAGGTTTTTTTCAGTTTGGTATTTTGAGTGATTTTAAGGGTTTGGTATTTCGGCGGGTTCAGATTTGTTAAAAATTTTTTTTTTATTTTTAAAAATAAAAAATGGATATTGCAACAACAACAACAGATTCTCAACAATTATTTAATTCTCTTCAATTATCTTCATTTGAACCAATTAAAAAAATTAAAAAACGGTTTAATTGTAAATTATGTGGAAGGAAAAGGATGTATTTTTGTTATGTATTTTTTAAAAATTTTTTTTTGAATTTTTTTAATTTTTTCAGAATTGTCGGATTTATATTGAAAATGTTGGTGATTTTGTGCCTAAAGTAAAGGTTTTTTAATTTTTTTTATTTTTTAATAGATGAATAGTGGGATGGACTTTAAATTAGGAAAAGTTCTTGAACACGTGGGGAAATTTTTTTTAATATTTTTAATTGTGGCTGGACATTTTTCTTTCAGACATTAACGTTTTATTATAAATTTAAAAAAGTCAAAATGATGGGGGAGAATTCTTTTAATCCATAAATTTGCGAGCAAGGGATGGTTAGTTAAGAGTCTAGAAAATAGGGTTGTTGGTTCTTGGAAAATCTACGAACATCTAGAACCGAATAAAAAAATCTTTGGATCTTCAGTTCGGTTCAATTTTGGAAAAAGGAAAATTCATAAGTTTTGATTTTGGGTTAAACTAAAAAACTCATAGGCCTGGGAATTTTTTGCAAATTTTTTTGAAAAAATTTTTTTCAGTTACCTTTTAATGTGGATATTATAAAGCATCGTTTGGAACGTGATGGAAAATCTACAGCTGTTCATGCTGTTTTGTTAGCACCAGAACAAACTAAAATTTTTGATAATTTTGTTGATGTGCCTGACTACGAGTTGAGGTTTTTTTAATTATTTTTTATTTAAAATTTTGGAAAGGTTTTTCTTATTTGTTTGTGTGATTCGCAAAGACATACATTTTTTTAGAATTCAAGTTTCGGTCAGGATTGAAGTATGGCCGGGAATTTTTCTTGTCAATAAAGCGAATCCGAAATCAAGTCTTATGTCAGACTATGTCAACGAATATCTATAATTTAAACCCAGAATTTACTCTCGCTCTAGAGTAAATTTGCGACTCTCGATCTAAAATTTCTGTTATCCCCTTAAATTAAGCTTGTCCCCTATATTCATTCAACAACTTTTTTTCGTACTTTATCCTGGACAGAAAAATTTTTGCTTAAACTTTTCTCAAATTTCAGGCCAGGAACTGTAATTTTATGTCCATCAAAATATTCAATTCCTATCAATCAATATTTGTTAACTAATGGAAATATAAACAATTTAATAGTTTTGGATTCAACTTGGAATACTATTGGAACATTAAAAAGTCTTCCACAATTAAATAAATTGCCTTGGATTCATTTATCTAATTATTCTACTGAATATTGGAGACCTCAAAAAGGGCTTTCTTCAGGTTTTTTTTTAAATAAAAATTTGAATGGGGTTTGGTTAGGTTGCGTAGAAATGGAAGATTATTTTAAATTATTTTTTGATGATTTGCGGACAAATTTTGCGGATTTTGACTTGAAATTTTATTGATTTCTAGGACATGTCACGATCCCCTTGGCTATCCGATACCTGAGGATTTGACTTCTAAGGACCGACATTTGAGGAGCTGGCTTGGACTGACTTCTGAGACCTTTGGAGGATCGACTTTTAACTCAAGAGTCTCAAAGGTCGAATCAAATCCTCAAGTGTCGCACCACGATCCCCTTACTTTCTATGTACCCGTTTTCTTGTTACTTTTCTGCGTAACAAAGTCTAATGAATGTCCGCAAATATTTTGCGGACAAAAAAATTATTTTGGGAATAATATTTGCTTAAAATTCTCGTCTAAATTTTGCTTAATTAAAAAAATTTTTTTCACTCAGAATATCTAGCAACAATAGAAGCAATATATTTTGCTTGTAAAGAATATTATATTGCTACAAATGGAATTAATAATAATTTTAATGAAAATAGTTTTGATAATTTATTATTTTGGTTTTATTATTTTAAACAATTTATAAATAAAAAATAAAACATTAAAGTGGTGAGAGAAAAGAAGAAATAGTATATGAATTAAAGAGAATTTTCTCTGTCGTCACTTATTTTTCTATACTATTTCTTTTTTCTCTAACTTTTTTTTGTTTTTATTTTTTTTTTGATTTCTAAATTATTTTTTTTAGTTTCTGGATTTAAATTCCATTAATTATATTTTTTTAATTTATTTCATTCAAAAAAAATTTTTAGCTTTTTTTATAAAATACAAGAGGTTTTTCTCTGCCGTCTCTTATTTTTCAGTACTATTTTCTTTTTCTCTAACCTTTTTTTTTCTTTAGATTTTCTTTTTCAAAAAAAAATTTATTTTTTCTCGGAAAAATGTTTATTAAATTAAATAAACAAATAATTAAAACAACTTTTCGTCATTTTCAAACAAAGTCGGCATCATCAACAGGAATAATTTCAATTGGAAAAAATAATATGGAATGCTTTAAGAATAATTCTTTTGTTGTTGGAAAGGCTTTAAATAATTATGTTTTTGAACAAAAAAGATTTGTTGTGCATGTAAGCAAAGGTTTTTTAAATGTTAAAATTTGGTTGGGAGAAGGGACGTTATTTCCTGTACCCCCAAGGTAGTTAGAGGCAAAATTTGTGGGGGAAGGGGGAATGTCCGCAAAACATTTGCGGACATTTTTTGAGCAAAATGTTTATTAAACTAAATTGAAAATAATTTTTTTCCTGTATCCATATGATAAGAAAGGCAAAATCCTTTTTTTCAAATATCCTTTTTAACCAAAAGGATTTTTAATAAAAGTATTGTGTTTTGTCCGCAAAACATTTGCGGACATTTAAAAATTTTTTTTCCCTGTACCCCCAAGATTTAAGGAAGGCAAAATTTATCGGGAAGGGGAGATGTCCGCAAAACATTTGAGGACATTATTCCACTAGAAAATAGCTTATTGTTTTTAATTAAAGTACATTTTATGTTCTGTCCGCAAAAAATTATATTCGGGGTTCCCGACATAATTTTTTAAATAAAAATCATTTTTATTTATATTTAAAAAATGCTTTTTAAGGATCCATTAACCAAAAGGATTGTTGAAGACCGTATAATGCTTGTTCTAAATCTCTTTGATAAAATCGACAATGATAAGTTGACTTTGGATTCTGATTTTTTTAAAGATCTTGGACTTGATTCGCTCGACTTTGTTGAGGTTTTTTTTGTTTTTTTTTAAATTTTTTTTAAATTTTTTTTATGAAGAGGGGTTAGGAAATGTGTCCCTTCAGTATTACTCTATTTTGTTTTTGTAAAGTTCTTTCCAAACATCTGGAAATTACCTGTTGAGATGATAAGGGCATTTTTGGGTTTTACAGATTTCCTTCTCTTTTTCTCATTCTTAAAGGTGTATAAAGACTATTTGGTTCATCAACTCTAGAGGTGGGGGAGGGAATGAGTACCCCTAGATTTTTTGTTTCCGGTTATTCGTTGGTTTTAATTTTTTTCAAAAATTTTGATACTTCCATTTAAAAATTTTTCAATTTTAAGGTAATTATAGCACTTGAGGATGAATTTGACTTTGAAATTCCGGATGGTGATTCTGATAGAATGAAGACACCAAGGGATATTTACAAATATATTTGTGAAAAATACGATATTTATTGATTTTTTAAAAATTTAGGAAGGAAAAAAGATTAAAAATCTTCTTTTTAGGAGCATAAAGTCGTTTAATTGTTGTTTTTTTAACTTGTTTTAATGAGAGAAGAGGTCGTTGATTGAAGTTCTTAAAATTTTTTTGAGAAATCTGACCTCGTTAAGCTCATTTTGTTCTTCGTCCGTTAACTGGATTTGAATTTATATTTTATTTTAAATGTTTGGCGTTCTGTCTCCTTTTTTTCTCTAGTTGTCTGCAAGCTGTACTCTCTCGTCTATAAATTATTATAAAAGCACTTTTATTGTATTTGTCTTTTCTTTGTTTTTGTAGGGGTGTGGCTGGCTGTCACTTATTTTTTTGTTATTTAAGTTGTGGTCTTTTTTTGTTTTCAAATCCACTTTTTATTTTTTAGATTGTTTCCTTTAAAACCTATACTTTATTTTCTTCTCTACTTTATTTTCTTTTGAAAAATGGTCCAAAAAAAGTCGAATAGAAATTCTTGGGAGACGGCTTTTCCTGCTTCGTAACAACTTGAATCTGATCAACTCCGTTTTATGGCCCGTATGAGTTACATTGCTATTGCCCATTACCTTCTTTACCGTAAAATCGTTCCGAGTGGTGTTTACAAGCGTCGACGTATTGGCGGTTAATTTATCTTTTTTTCTTGATACACAATAAATTTTAGATACAATCATCTACTGCTTTGACTCAAGCAAGCGATGGGGGACAAAACTTTCGCAAATGATGCAAGGGTTGAAGGAGGCTATTGAAAAAAAATATGTGAGTTCTAGCCTTATTTGTTTTGATGTACTTCAATAGAGTTCGACATTTTCAAATAGCAGAGCCCGGTACTTGGGTTTTTTTCCGAACTGATCTGGGCCATGCTGTCCGGGGTAAAACCCCGAAAACCCTGTTTATTATGTCCGGACCCTTTTTCCATTATTTTAATAAAAAAGCTTAAAGTCTCCGAGCCCTTCTTGTTGTCGGACTCTACTATTTAATTGTCTGGAGATTTCGCCAGTGAGTGTTATGGGCAGGGGTAGCCACAATATCCTGCCCATTATTTTTAGAAATTTTTGGTATAAGACTCAAACAACGTTTACTGACCAAATCTTGCTGCTCATTTAATTCACTGCCCAATTCACTTCTGTCGAAATCACACGGCACCCTTTAATTTACAGGTTGAGAGCGTCTTGGTCGTTATCAATGAGGGGGAGGCTGCTTCGGAGGTCTTCATTATCCGCTTTAGTTATGAAAAGGAGCATTCACTCAGCATTGTCAAGTATTTGATTTTTTAGTTTATTCATTAATAAGTTCATTTTAAGCGAGGATGGTCATCCAATTATCTCTTCTGAATACAAAGACGAAAAGGCATTCCGTTACCAAACCAAACACATGATCAAAAAAATCAACATTGTCACCAAAAAACTTTCTCCATTAAATGCTGGCGTTTCTCCTGAATTAAAGCTTACTTATTTTCCGGGTATTTTTAATGAATTTTTAAATATTTGTCTATTTTTAGGAGTGCCTATTGATTATCAACCACCTTTTTTTGAGGCAGGGAATGGGACTTACAATTTTGTTACCAAACCACATTTTATACTTATGGTTACATTTCGTCAGTCTCTACAGCAATTGCATTTCAACTTAAAAGTACTTATTTTGACAAGGGGAAAATTAACGAATTGGAGGACACTCTTTATGATGAGGCTGGTATTGTTGACAAACAATTTGTGGATGCAAAGGATGTTAGCGGTGATTGTTTCTCTGATGAAGAAGAAAGTCCTATTCAACAAATTGCGGAAAGTCCAATGATGGAGGTTGAAGTTCCACGTGGTGAGGTTGTTTACAAACATGTCTTTTTGGAGGATCCCAAGTCGTCGAAATCAATGCGTTCACTTTTGGTTATTTTTAAATTTTTTTAAAATCCTTAACTTTCAATTTTTTTCAGAAGAGTCCGGAGGATCAGCTTGCTTATGATGGTGCCTTTTAGGATGTTTTTTTGTGAAATTTTTTTGTTGGCATTTTAAAAAATATTTTTTTCTCTCTCATCTAATTTTGATTTACTGTCTTGTGCCTATTTCTCACCTTTTTCAAATCTTTTGGGTTTTTTTTCTGAAGGAAATCCTCTTTAAAAATTATTTTTTTTCATATTTCCATATTTAGGAAGAGAAAGATCCAGCTGGCTAGCATTCAAAACGCCTACCAGGCGGGGGTTTAAGATCTATTAAAAGGAGGTTGCAGGATCGATGCCTGTTCGGGGCTAAAATTTTACCTCTTACTCAAATTTCCTTCAATTTTCCACATCCAATTCCAAGTTTGAAAAGGAGAAAAAGGCTTGTTTTAATTATATATTTATTGTTAATTTAATTTATTTTTGGCTCCTCTAATTAAATAAATCCACATTTAAAAAAATTTTATTCGAAATAAATATTTGCTTGACTTTATTTTTTCTTCTTTTGAATGTGAAATTCGCTGAGATACTATATTTGCTAATTCTTTTTTTAGTAGGGAGTAGATTAAAGCGTCTTTAAACCTTTTGTCCAGTTGGCATTTTTTAATTTTTTTCAATTTGACAACAAAATTTTTTTTTGGAAGACGGTTTTTTGCTGATTACAAGGTTTTTTAGCTGTTCTAAAATTTGTAAAAATTCCTTTTTTAGTTATGCTAGTTATCTTTTTGTTAATAAATTTATTTTTTCAATTTTCCTCTTCAATTTCAAACAACAAAAACCAAGTCTCACAACTTTTATTTGTAACAATAGCAACAGAAGAAACTGATGGATTAAAACGTTTACAAAAATCTGCTCATCATTTTGGACATGATTTAAAAATTTTTGGATTGGGAGAAGAATGGAAAGGAGGAAATATGTATTCTGAGGTTTCTTTTTGAAGTTTTTAAAGTTGTGGTTTTAGGGGAGTTGTAGGAGGGTCATATTTTAGTGGGAGAATATTTGCGGACTAAACTTGCGGACATTACCCCATCATGACCTATTTTTAGGCAATATATTAGAAGAATTTTTTTCTTTTTTTTTGTTGGACTATTGGAAGGAGTCTGAAGCCTTTTTATATTTATAGAATTTCGAAGCCTCCACTTCGTGACATTTTTATTTTTAGGGAGGCGCACAAAAAATACGTTTACTTCGAGAAAATCTTTTGCCTTACAAAGATGACAATTTAATCGTTCTTTTTACCGATGCGTTAGTTTGTTTTATTTTATTTTTCTAAATATCTGGGGTAAAATTTTTGAAAGTTCCTCACATTTTTACGGGCAAAATTTCTTCTTAACTTAAAAAAATTTTTTCAGTTATGATGTTCTAATAAATTCAAATTCTGAAACTATTCTTCGAACTTTCTTTGCATCCTTCCCCGAAACAAAAATTTTATTTGGAGCAGAAGCGTATTGTTGGCCTGATAAATCTCTTGCTTCAAAATATCCTCCTATTGTGTTTGGAGAAAGGTATAAAATAAATAAAATTAATATAGGGCGATAATTATGTGGATTTGATGTAAATGTGTTTGGCCGGTTGGTTAGGACTTTGGGTTTTGTGGGTGGTGGGTCAAGGGTTCTAATCCTGCTAGGGGAAAATCATTTTTCTAGTAATTTTAGTTATTTTAACTTATTTAATTTTATTTTTTACTTCATTCTTTTAAATTTTTTTAAATATTTTTTTAAAGATATTTAAATTCTGGAATGTTTATTGGCTATATCAAAGAAATATTAAAAATGTTAGAAATTGCAAAAGACCAAAATTTACCTGACAATGCTGATGATCAACTATTTTATACAGATTTATTTTTGGATGAAAATATTCGGGTTTTTTTAATTTTTTAAGACTAATTTTTTTTAATTTTTAAGAATGATTTAAAAATTGGATTGGACTCGCTTTCAATAATTTTTCAAAATTTGAATGGTGCCCAAGAATTTGTTACTATTCGGAAGGAAAATAATGAAGCAATGGTTTTCTTTTAACTTATTTTTTTTTAATTTTTTTAAAGATTTATAATTCTCTCTACATTACTTATCCATTAATTCTTCATGGTAATGGACCTGCAAAAATTTTGTTGAATCAATTTGAAAATTATTTGGGTGAAAATTATTTGCAAAAAGAAGAGGTTTGTTTAACTTTATTTTTGAGAATTTTTGGATAAGATTTTCGGGTTTCTAAAAATGTTGGCGTTTTGATTTTTAATAAAAATATACGAGAAAATGCAGAAATTTCTCGACTTTTAAGCAAAATTTTAGAAAAAAAATTCAGAAATTTTTTTAAAAATTTTTCTATGTTTTTTTTGATTTTTAAGAAAAAATTACAAACTAAAATAATTTAAAAAATTCTTTTTTAGAAATTAAAAACTTACCAAAATAGCATTAAAGAACATTTATTACCAACAATTTGTATGTCTATATTCATCCAAAAACCAATTCCTTATTTTGAAGAATTTTTAATTAAAATATCAGAATTGGATTATCCAAAAAGAAAAATTAATTTATATATAGCTAGTAATCAAAAATATAATATTGAAATGGTTGATGAATTTAAACAACAATGGGAAGATTTTTACGCTTCTTTTGTTGTAATTAATTCTGTTGAGGTGAAGGAATTTGCTGCTAGAACTAATTCTTTGTAAGTGTTTAAATATATTCTGATTTTTTTAAATTGTAAATTCTGATTTTTTTAATTTACAAATTCTGATTTTTTTAATTTACAAATTCTGATTGGTTAAATTGTAAATTCTGATTTTTCAAAGGTTTAAATTCTGATTTTTACAATTACAATTCTGATTAAGATTCTGATTCTGTTATTTTACAAATTCTGATTTTTTGTTTCTTTAATTTTAAATATTCTGATTTTTTTACAATTGTAAATTGACAAAATCAGAAACAAAATCAGAATTGAATCAGATAAGCGAAATCAGAAAATTAAGAAAATGAGAGTATTTTATTTTATAAAATTCTGATTTTAATATTTTTATAAATTCTGATTTTTGCGGTTTCTGATTTTTATATTTTTTACTTCCTGAAAATTTGATTTTTAAATAATTAAATTATTTTTTAGTGTTTTTGCAAAAAAGACAAAATCAGAATTTTTATTTATTGTTGATGCTGATTCTCACCTTGATCCTTCTGCTTTAAAAAATTTAATTTATAAGGCTATGAATTATGACAGGTTTATTTTTTAATTTAATTTTTTTATTTTTTCTCTTTTATTTTTAGAAGCATTCTAGCTCCTTTACTTCTCCGCCCAGGAACACTTTTTAGCAATTTTTGGGGAGCAATATCTGCATATGGCTATTATGCCCGTTCTCAAGACTATGTTAGTATTATTCAAGGAATCCGTAAAGGAATTTGGAATGTTCCTTTTATTGGCTCTTCTTTTTTAATTTCTTCAAATAAGTTTGATTTATTGGAAAATTCTTATAATTGGAATATTAATGTGGATTCGGATATTGCTTTTGCTAAGTTTTGCAGAGACAAGGTATGGGAGTTTTTAATTTTCTAGTCTTATTTTTAATTTCATTACACTCTACCCTTGATATAGAAAATACTTTCTGGGATGAAAAATCGTAATTTATAATGAGGGGGTATTCGAAATATGTAGGTGTTGGCTATTGAAATAAGGTTTTCTCGTTAGACAAACCAAAATGTATCTTAATCTGAAGGGTACTACATAAAACTTCTTATACTGAAGTTTTATTTTCTTCTAATTGTAAGATTCTGACTTTGGCCTAATTTATGAGTCCTATGAAAACATCCCTGGATTTAAAAGGTTCATTGTTCTCATTAATTAGACCAGACCCAAAATTTCTCTTTCAAATTTTTAAGGGCCATTTCCTGTACGTTGATGCTTCAGAAGACCCTTATTTTTATGGTTATTTAATTGATACAGATGGATTTAGTCAACTTGATAATTTGGCACAAGTCAATTTAGAATTATACGATTTTCCAAATAATCGCCAATTATGGGAAAAGCGTTATATTCATCCAGAATATTTTGAAAAAGTTAGGGCTAATGGAACAATTGTACTACAAGAGTGTCCTGATGTGTATGATTTTCCTTTTTTATCGGATCGTTTTTGTGAAGAACTTATTCAAGTAATGGAAAATTATGGTCAATGGTCTGATGGTACTAATCAGGTTATTTTGATTGATTTTAAGGGTCTATAAAAATTTTTGACTCGTGAAAATTAATTATAACATGTTGAAATGTTCAATTTTTGGTTTAAAAATTAAACCCCCTGGCAGGGTTCGAATCTTCACCCTATAATTGTTGAAAACACAACATCATCCCACTACACCAAACTAGAAGTTTTTCTAAAATTTCTTTTTTAGGATGCTCGGTTACAAGGTGGTTATGAGAATGTTCCAACACGAGATATTCATATGATTCAAGTTGGGTTGGACAAACAATGGTTAAAAATATTGGATGATTACATTGCTCCTATTCAAGAGAAAGTTTTTATTGGATTTTACAAAAGAGTTTGTTAATTAAAAAAATTTTTTCAACTATTTTTTTAGCCAGTCCAAGCAGATATGATGTTTGTTGTTAGATATAAACCGGATGAACAGGTTTTTATTTTTTTTAATTTTTTCATTAAAAATATTTTTAAAGCCTTTTCTCCGTCCTCATCACGATGCTAGTACTTATAGTATTGATATGGCTTTGAATAAACGTGGAGTTGATTATGAAGGTGGTGGTGTTCGTTTTCTTCGTTATAATTGTACCGTGGAAGCTGATAAAGTTGGTTAGTGAATTTTTGTTATTTTTGGATATTTTTTGACATATATAAAAAAATGACATTTTGTCCCACTTTAGAAATTTTTTGAGTTTTATCTAGGATTTTTTTACCCAAGAATCCTTAAATTAAATTTAAAAAAATGGAAAATTTTTTAAGGTTGGACAATGCTTTTTCCTGGACGTTTAACACATTACCATGAAGGTTTGCCAACAACTAGAGGAACTCGTTATATTCTAGTCTCTTTTATTAATCCTTA